CTCTGGCCGACTGCTGGCCTGGGACCTGGTATGCCAGGGTCGGGGCAGAAAGCCCCAGGAGACTGCCCACCAAAGCCTCTGCCTGCCCAGCCTCCTGGTGGGGCTCGCCCTGGGGCTGGGGAGGGTGGGCTGTGGTGCAGCTGGGGAGGATTGCTCAAGGCTGTGGCTGGGGGGGTGGGTGAGAGAGCAGAATGCAGGGAGCAGGAGCTGCAGAGGGAGTGGGCGCCAACAGGTGCAAGGGGAGAGCATCGGAGTTCGGAGTTCGGCTGTGGAGGTGGGTCCACCATTCTTCTGATGGGAGGCAGTCAGTGTTGGGAAAATTGATTGCAGGCAGGCGCTTCACCCCGGCCTGGGGGGAGGGCGAGTGCCGGCCTGCCAGATGCAAATGGAGTGCCGGCCTCTCCAGGGCTAGGCGCCTGTGCTCCGGAGCCCTCCCGCCCTGTCCCCATGAGGGAGCATGTGCCCTGGAAGTCCGCCTGTGTGCCATCTTGCCATCGGGGACCAGGTGGGCCCCTATCTGCCCTCCAGCCTGGGGTCCTTAGCCAGGGTGAGAGTGTGGAGCTCATGCTGCTCAAAGCTCCAGACGGTTCTTGCTGCAGGTCGTCCTCTTCTGAGAACAGCTTCCTGGGGACAGTCAGCCACTGGGGGAAGGACTGGGAGCTTCCTGGGAGGAAGGTGGTGGACAGCACCAATGATGATGACCCACCATTGGTACCTGGTAAAACAATGACCTGGGTTTCCGATGAAGTGTGCTGGAGACAGACTGGGGTCCCGGGAACATCCTGTCATGTGTAAAGACCCTTTTGAGGGGCTCCACTGGTAGGCCACCCTGTCGATGTGCCCCGAGCCCACCAGCATCCAGCTCACTGCCCCTTCCATGGAGACAGAATCTGGGCCCCAACCACAGGCTGCCCTAGGACAGAGGGTGCATGTTTGGGGGAGGGCAGGAGTGTGCCCCTCAGCAAGAGGGAGCAGAGGTGGGGAAGCTTGTGCTGGAGGAAGCAGGCCTGGGTTGGAGCCCTCAGACGGTGCTGGGGCCCATCCTCCTACCCAGGATGTCCCCACATTTGCCCTGCTCCAAATCAGTGGGGACAGCACCGGTGGATCTGCTACCTCCCAGGGGAGGTGGGGGCTCTGAGATGAAACCTGGCAGTTTTGGCATCCTCCCACGCTGCAGCTGCCCTGGTGGAGGATGCAGCTCTCTCCCACTGACCGCATGCTGGGCTAGCCGGGGAAGGCTGGAGAGGCACAGGTGGGACTTAGCTTGGTCCTGGAGCACTTGAGCCTGAGGCCCATCTCTGCCCCCACCCCCCAGAGAAGGCTGTCCTCTTTTCCAAGAAGTTCTGGACAGACACATTCCCTGATGTTGGGGAGGAGATGCTGGGTTGTGGAGAACCCCCTGTGTGCCAGCCACTGCAGGCAGCATCTTGTGCACCTGAGCTTATTTGGCCTGTTCAGCAAGTCTGTGTTTTCTAGGAGTTGCTTATTGTGGAAGCCAGGGCTCAGAGAAGTGGCGTGACTTACCCACGATCACTTGGCCAGTGTGTGGGGTATACTGTGGCAGGGGCTGCAGTGTGGGGTTTTGTTACCTGTGCTGCATCAGTGGGTGGGCAGTCCCTTCCTGGTGGGACTCTGAGTCAGAAAGGCCCCGACATTGGCTCGTGGTCAATTCCACAGCCCCCCACCTTGACTCCTCACCCACAGCGGAAAGAGCTCCAGAGGCAATTTTCCCCTGAGTGTGTAATTTATGTGACTAAGATTGCCACTTCTGAATAATGGCTCGGTGAAATTATGTTCCAGGAGGCAGGCACAGTAATAGTGGCCTAATTTTGTTCTGCACTGCTCTTCAGTCTAACACAGGAAGTGGGGTGCTTGGGAGGGTGGCGGGGGCTGGCAGCCTGCTCTGCCCACTTTGGGTTCGGAGCAGCCTGGGCACCTGACAGCAGCCTCAGGACAGCTGAGAGCTCTGTGAAGACACGGCATGTGTCTGATTTAGGATCAAAGGCACACTCAGCCACAGTGTGCCTGCAAGCCCAGATCCTAGGTGCACCTGAGCCCCTGCTCCCACCGTGGGTGAACACAGCCCCTCTGGAGGGCTCCTTCTCCCCACCATGTTCCCTAGGGTCCCATGCAGAATGGGCCTAAAACTCTTTGGGTATTTCTTTACATGTGAGGAAGGGCTTCCTTGCGTCAGGCGCGGGGAACAGGCCGACTTCCCTCTTGTGGGAGTGAGCCTGCAGGCAGCCCATCTCTGAGGGTGAGAGGGGCCCTCCTCCCAGATGGGCCCACCCTGGGAAAGTGCGGGCTCTCCCAGTCTGACAGCACCCTTGCTGACCGAGGGCTTGGGCACTGCCCAAGGGGCCCCTTTGTCTTGAAATGCAATTGTCCCCAAACATCATACTTTTGTCTTTTTTGAAGAGAGTTTTTGTCACATGCCTCTCACCAGGTCACAACACCCAGCAAGTGGTGCTCAGCACCAGGAGCAGCAAATTCAGCAAAAACAGAAAACGTGTCTTTCCCCTCCTGGCAAGGAATGCGGGTGGCAGTTGTCCTCTCCGCACAGTGCCTGTGGCTCCTGCAGCTGCGGAGCCTGTCCCGGTCCTCACTCCTCGTGGGCTTCCTCTCGTCTCCCCGCTGACTTTCTTTAGGATTTTCTCCCTGTTCTTGATGCTCCCTAGGTCGACTGTGATGCTATTTTATATTTACTTCACTCTGTTTGGGACAGGTTTGTGCTTCTGAACAGGCCCCTTGTCGTGGGTCAGCTCCACAGGGGCCCAGGTTTCCTCTCTGGGTAGTGGGCCCATGCCCCTCCCGGGGCTCAGAGCCCTGCAGCCCCCTGTCCAGCACACCGAGTTCTGAGGAACCCCCTCGGCCCCTTTTCTGGTTGGCTGATTCTCTCTTCAACTGAGTCCAGACCAGATACAGGTTTTTCCCAAATGGCGATTTTTCACACCCAGAAGTTGTAATTTTCAAAAATACATACCTGTTCATTTACTTCTTAACAGATTTATTTCTCGATATTTTTATCCATGCCTAATTGAGGGTCCTAAACATACTGAACACATCTTGGACATGCTTGTTACGTTACAATATTATTAACCTGAAATGCATCTGCCAGGCCAACCTCAATCCTGGTGTGCTGCCCCCGGGGGCAGAGGGTCTCTCTCTGTCACTGTCAGTGTTCTGGGCTTGCCCTGCCCAGCACCTGCCCATCGGGCTTTGGTGGCCTCCCCCAGCTCAGGACTGGCAGCCACTCGCTCTGTGCACCCTGCACTCGAGAGGACCCGGGGGCACTGCGGGTCAACTGGGCAGGGCCCTAGGGAGCGGCTGGCCTGAGTGGCCCTGGCTGGGTCATCACTGCCCTTTCCAGCCCCTTTTAGGACCTTGCCTGGGCCCCCTTGCTAACTCCCCATCCCCTGGGGGCTCAAGGCACCAGTCACACCTGTGTCCCCTTTCTTCTCTCCCTCCTGCCAGTGGAGGTGCTTATTTTCTCTTGAGCATCACCATTTTTTAAACAATTTTATTTATTTATTTTTAGAGAGAGGAGGAAGGGAGGGAGAAAGAGAGGAAGAGAAACATCAGTGTGTGGTTGCCTCTCACACACCCCACACTGGGGACCTGGCCTGCAACACAGGCATGTGCCGTGAATGGGAATCGAACCAGCAATGCTTTGGTTTACAGGCCTGTGCTCAATCCGCTGAGCCACACCAGCCAGCATCACTATATTTATAAACTATTTCAAACATACAGAAAAGTACGAAAGCTCCATAACCAATTCGTGCATGCCCATCACCTCAGACGGCAGGCGTTAACATTTCCCGTCTTTGCCTCAGCTCTGTCTCTGTACAATCCCACGCACACAGCTGCAGCCTCTCCTTCCAGCCCACTCTCCCAAACCATCCCCTTCCACACGCTCTCCCAGCACCCGGCCTCTCTCCCACACACACACGCGTGTGTGCACACACATGGGCATTTCCCCTGGCCTGTGGCATGGGCTGTCATCAGCCGCAAGTGCTCTGCCCACTGTGCGTCCCCTTTGTGCAGCGTGTGTGGAGGGCCCTTCTGGAGAAACGCTGCCACAGCTGTGCGGGCGATGGGCCCCACCACAGAGCACGTGGAGCGAGCCTTCCCGCTGCGGTGACAGCGCGTCGTGCAGCAGTCTCTCAGGTCCTTTCCTTGGCCTGGCCCAGGGAACATACGCGCTGCGGTGAGCGGGCTGGCTGGCAGCTGCAGGGCCACGGAAACCAACTGCTCTGGGACCACGTGGCTGGGACTCGGTGGGGGTGACACAGGTGCCACTCACCAGGGGGTGGTGAACCAGTGGGAACCAGTGGACACCGGCAAAGCCTCTGCAGCCTGAGGTCTAGCTCCCAGCCATGTGAAGGGCCGGGCACCCTCCTGCTGGTTATGGGAGGTGACTCAGGGTCCGGCTTTGGGGTCACACAGGAGAGCAGGGCTCAGTGGGTGTTGCTGCACTTCCTGGTGGCATCTTGGATGTGAAGGACCCGCAGTGCTCAGCCAATATCTTGGCCTGCTAATTATTCCTCCTGACCTTGGGGAGGGTTCCTGGGGGTCCCTGACGAAATGACACCTGCCATACTCAGTCCCTTACCCGTGAGGTGAGAATAGTGATGCTGCAGTGAGACAGTGCTGGCCTCAGACAGGAGGATGGCTGTGGCCAACCGGGGGACCACCCTGGGAAGGTGGGGGACACAGGCGTGGTCAGGTCCCTGCAAGCCACTGCAGCACCAACAGACGACGTGTCGGTGTCTCAACTCAGGCTGCTGTCCCCTTGCTCCTTCCTCTCTGGGCTGGTTTTCCAAACAATTTGCTTAATGTGATTCCCGGCCAAGTCGCACATGGATAATCGTGTTTACCCTACGACTGGGGTAATCCTGTGCCTCCTGGGGGGTGGGGAGGAAGTGCCTGGCTGTCCCATTAATTGCCCGCATCCTCCCTTCTTCTGCTGCAGAAAGGACAGTGTTCTGCCCTGGGTGCCCATGGAGCCTCTGTTCCCCTCCTCTAGACCAGCCAGCTGGAATACCTCCTCCGTGGCCACTGAGTGGCAGACCGGCGGAGGCGACGAGAATGGGACGAATGGGACGATGGCAGGACCGGCGTCCTCGCCGGGGGCCCGAGCGGTGGTGGTACCGGTGCTCTACCTGCTGGTGTGCGTGGTGGGGCTGGGCGGCAACACGCTGGTCATCTACGTGGTGCTGCGCCACGCCAAGATGAAGACTGTCACCAACATCTACATCCTCAACCTGGCGGTGGCCGACGTGCTTCTCATGCTGGGGCTGCCCTTCCTGGCCACACAGAACGCCGTCTCCTACTGGCCCTTTGGCCCCGTACTGTGCCGCCTGGTCATGACGCTGGACGGCATCAACCAGTTCACCAGCATCTTCTGCCTGACCGTCATGAGCGTGGACCGCTACCTGGCCGTCGTCCACCCCATCCGCTCCACGCGGTGGCGCCGCCCGCGGGTGGCCAAGCTGGCCAGCGCTGCGGTCTGGGCCTTCTCCCTGCTCATGTCTCTGCCACTGGTGGTCTTCGCGGACATCCAGGAGGGCTGGGACACCTGCAACCTCAGCTGGCCAGAGCCCGTGGGTCTGTGGGGCGCCGCCTTCATCATCTACACATCTGTGCTGGGCTTCTTCGGGCCGCTGCTGGTCATCTGCCTGTGCTACCTGCTCATCGTGGTGAAGGTGAAGGCCTCGGGCGTGCGTGTGGGCTCCACGAGGCGGCGCTCGGAGCGCAAGGTGACGCGCATGGTGGTGGTGGTGGTGCTGGTGTTCGTGGGCTGCTGGCTGCCCTTCTTCATCATCAACATCGTCAACCTGGCCGTCGTCCTGCCTGAGGAGCCTGCCGCCGCGGGTGCCTACTTCTTCGTGGTCATCCTGTCCTACGCCAACAGCTGCGCCAATCCTGTGCTCTATGGCTTCCTCTCTGACAACTTCCGCCAGAGCTTCCGGAAGGTTCTGTGCTTCCGAAAGGGCTATGGCGCTGAGGATGTGGATGCCATGGAGCCACGGGCCGAGAAGAGCAGCCAGCTACAGGAGGCCACTCTGGCCGCACGCAGCTCAGAGGCCAATGGGCTCATGCAGACCAGTAGACTGTGAAGGCCGCTGGTGGGAGTTGTCACTGGGCCAAGCCTTTCCCTGAGATTTGGGGACCTGCTGAGGTGCTCCCCAGCGGTCTGAACACTCTCCACGGGGTGAGGGCAGCTGCCTGAGGTGAGGCTGTAGGTGGCCCTGCAGTGATGAGCTGCCGCTTCACCTGTCTGTTCTTGTTGCGCAGGCAGGAGTTCTGGGGTCTTGGGTGGGAGGGAGTGGGAGCGGCCCAGGTGTCCCAGGCAATGGTCAGGGCATCCCTACCTTCCAGTCTTGCCCCAGCCTGTGTCAGCCTCCCAGACCAAGGGAGTGGCCATTAGTGTGAGCTAGTGACCACCCACCCAGCCCCCGCCCTCTTGCCATATGTGTCCCTCCTCAGGTCAGCCCTGCACCACCTGATCAGCGCCAAGTGCCATGCTGTGAAATTAAAGACTCCGAATGTGCTGGGCTCTGGCCTGCGCCCCCACCTCCCGGCAGCTGGGAGCTTGTTGACTATAGACACGGCACGTGTGAGGAACAGAAGCTGCAAATGCCCCCAGGGCAGTGAGAGGGTGCTGGCCCACCCCCTGCTGGTCCATCTCCCTCCCTCCTAGCCTCAGTCCCCTGGTGAGGGGAGCAAGGAATGGGGGCTGTGGGTTCTGTGGTCAGAGTGGACGGGGAAGGCAGCAAGTGCGGAGGGAGAGTGAGGAGCTGAGCTTGGGGGTGAAGAGTCAGCCCCCAGGTTTCTGGGTGAAGGGCTAGGAGCACAGGTGTCCAGAGGGGCTCCGTGCAGGGGCCTGGGTCACCAGGAGAGGCTGTCCTGGGAATGGGGCAGGTGAGGACACAGGAATGTACAGTTACCTCCCCTGCTTTCTGCAGGGCCTTTGGGCTGGAGAGGGAGCGGAGATGAAAGCAGAAGAGAAGTATCCAGACAGTCATGTGGGGAGCGGCCTCTCAGTGCAAATAGCAGCCGGCTGGAAAAGGCTATGTGGGTGAATGCAAATGCCAACAAATGCCAGGAATTTCTGTGTCCCCCAGACTGGAGTGGTCCCATCTACCCTCCAGAGATGCCAGCAACTCCCAGCACCCCAGGTCCACAGCTGGGCCCCAGAGAAGATCCCTGCCTGGGGCCTGAGAGCCGTGGGCCTCTATCCAGAGCTGGACAGAAAGGTCCAGGGTGTAGGGGCTGACTCAACCTGCAGACCCCCTGCCTGGGACAGCCCTGATGAATGCCACCTCCCCTGAGCCTCCTCTGTAGCCCAGAGCAGGACCCCAACCCTCAGGTGGGCACGGGGAGCGAGGGAGCCGCGCTGGGAGGGGAAAGCCCTGGGTCTTGCCACTGACCCCAGGCAGAGGCCAAAGCTTGGAAACAGTGGCGTAATGAGGGCTCTAGAGTTCGAAAACCACTCTCCTAAATAAATTAGAGAATAAATGTTTGACTCCTTCCCAAAGCAAATATTGCCCCGGGAGCCAAGAAGTTGGTGCAAATCAGAGTGCGTGGACAGGAGGGGGTGGGCAAACACTCAGCCAGAGCGGTCAGTGGGAGCTTAGAAGATGCTGCGGTGGGAGGTGTAAACAATAGGGGTGAAAAGAATTGGTGTGCACTTGCCTTGGGGCTGGGCAGGGGGGCTCCTCTCACTTCCTGGGAGGGACCGGATCTGAACTTGGCCTCCACAGATTGGGGAGGAGCTTGCTTGGGGCCCCAGCCCTTGGCCCTCGGCTGGCTACCTCGAGGCATCCAGGCTGTCTCTGCAGTTCCTGGGCTCAGTTCCAGGGAGCAGGGGCAGCTCCTCCATGTGGGGCCCACAGAACCTGAGACTGGAGTCCCTGGGAGCTGGTGGTTAAAGCCGCCCTCACCTGTCCTGGGGACCAGTATCCCGGGTATGGGTAGGTGCCCCAGGAGAAACTGAGGTCGGTCCAACCTGCTGTCTGCACCCCTCGGTCAGGCCTCCCCTTGGATCTGAGTGCAAAGTGCAGCCCCCAGAATGACTCTGGGAGTGAGCAGATGGCTCGGAAATCTCTGCCCGGATCAATTTCTCCCAACCAATTCCAGTGCGTGAGCTCCCTCCCAGGGCTGTGCCAACTGAGAGTGCCCACTTGGGGAGGGCAGGTGCCAGCACCCCCCTGAGTTGTTCCTGCCTGAACGGGGTGTGAGTGTGTGTGCACACATGCCTGTATGTGTGTGACACATGTGTGCTCACGCCCCGGGGCCTGATGGACCCAGTGGGTGGAGAAGCCCGTGGGATGTTCCAGGGGATTCTGCGCAGCCCGTGGACCCTGGGTCTGGGTGGGAGCTGGGAAGAGGTGGCCACCGCAGACAGACACCAATACTCAGGCGAGGGTGGGCCACTGAGTGGGAGGGAATAAGGACCCTCCCTGAGGCCTGTTGTGGACAGAGAAGGAGTGTCCTGGGGGAACATGAGCCCCAGGAGCCAGTGGACCCAAAACAATGGACCTGGGGATACGGCCCAGCCTGGCTGCAGCCCTCCCACACTCAACACAGGCTGGGGACAGCCGGGGGGCCACAGGGCCACCACACTGCTTGCAGGTCCCGGTCCCAGCCTTGAGTGGGATGGGTGGGGTGGTATAGAGCACATACCCTCTGGGAACAGTGACCTGTTTTATGGGCTCTCCCTCCGCATCGATGGGTTTTATTGGCTCCGGTGGCTTTCACAATGACCTTGCTCAGGAAATCCGGTCCCCGGGGGCAGGATGAGGTTGCCCTGGGATAGGGTGCAGAGGCAGGAGGGGGCTGTTTGACTGGCAGGGCTGGGCACAGGGTGGGAGTGTGGTTCGGTGGCAGCCTAGCCCCCCCAGGCAGGGAAGATGCTATAACCCCACAATGAGGGAGACCAAGGCCAGCCTGCCCTGGGGTTGGTTGAAGCTGCGTTCCCAGCCCAACCTCCATCAGCACACCCATGTTGAGAGCCCAGGGTGGAGTCCTGAGCAGGGGTCGGGAAGGCCCACCCCCTCAGCAGTCCTGGGGCAGAGCAACAAGCGGAGAAAGGGGGACATCAGGAAGGGCTTACGACAGGAACCTGGGGCCACAGAGGTCTGTGATGTCCTTAGGGGGTGCCAGAGCGATTGAATGACATTGAAAATAGGATCTTTGCTGGTCACTTATCAGGGCTCCTGAGGAACCATGGATCGCAGGGCTGGATGGAGATGGGGACCTGGGGAGACAGCTGGATCCACAATCCACCCCTCCTCCCCCCGACCTTGGGGGCAGGGTTTCCTCCTCAAGCCCAATTGCCACCTCCCCTCCCTCGAGGCCAAGGGCACTGCCTGCCCTGTGTAGACTGGCCGATGCCATCCTGGCTCCTGAGGGCTGGTCTAGCTACCACAGCTCTGAAGGGTGTTTTGTTGAATGAATAACCGAGTGACATTGAACGATGAGGGCTCTGCCCCGGTGGGAGCCTTACCACGAAGGTCCTGTGACTGCCTGGGAGCCTGAGGAGGGCCCCCTCTCCCTGCCTTTCCCCGTCTTCGGGCTCACCCTGCTCCGGGCACCTGTCTCCTCCTGGTGAAAGGCGACCTTCCCACCCCTCCTTCAGGCTCTGCACTGCATCTGGAGACGAGGTCTCAGCTGTGCACCTGCCAGGTGTGTGCTGATGGAGGTCTGAGGGCACCCTCTGGGCCTGTGGGTGGGTGGGGGGGCTGGGGCTGCACCTGAGTGAACCCCCCACCCCTGACTCCTGCCCGGGGTGAGGGGTGGTGCCCCTTCTAAAAGGGGTCTCTTCCTCTCCATTTGCATGCACAGGCAGAGGGGCTGGGGAAGGGGTTATGGAGCGACTGCTAATGGGGTTTCTTTGCGGATCGTGTGAATATTCTGGACGTAGAGGTGGTAGTTGTGCAACATTGGGAAAGTGCAAAAGCCCCTGAAATTGCTCACTTTAAAATGGCAAATTTTGGTATATGAATTTCACCTAAATTTTAAAAATGAATGTTTTATTGGAATTCCACTAAACAGATAAACCTAATATGGGTAAATTGGCTCCCAGACAGGATCCCATCTCTCCAGAGAAGGTTGTGGGGCTGTCCCTGTATTTGCTTTTCCAGCTCTTTTCTCTTGGCACAAGTGTGTTCATTCTAGATCACCGCCGAGCCGCACAGCGGGGGCTTCCCGCCTGCTACTCTGACTGCGGTGGGTTCCCCTTGAATCCCCTCAGTGGTCAGGGCAGCAGAGGCCTCATTGGTTTTCATGTCTCTGGCCTCTAACCCAGGGCGTCCCTGATCACCTTGCAGAGAGGGCGAGTTTGCCTCATCCCGTCCCGCAGTTCTCAGTCGCTGTTCATGTGTCTGTTTTTGATAAATAAGCCCAGAGGGTGTGAGGGTGATGCCGGCACTGCCTTCTCATCCTAGACTCTCTGGCCCTGTCCTCTAGCCCGTTTCCTAGCATGCGCCTCTCAGAGGAGGCTTGGCCGCAGTCGGGACTTGCCTCCACACCAGCCCTATTCTCTGAGGATGCGGCAGCTTTGGCACTTGGAGGTGGTCAGATGCCCTTCTTGGCCTGACCTACTCTGGCCTCCTGAATCGGCAGCTTGGAGCAGGGCCTGCCCCTCAAAGCTTGGCCGGGCTGCCCCAGCGCCTGCCTGCCTGCCCAGGCCGCTCTGATGGCTGGGTTCGCGCCATGAGATTAGAGGAGGCAGCGTGGCTGCCGGCCTGCAGACTTCCCCTGCGCAGGGCGGCTCCTCACCCTGCGCTCCAGGCCCCACCCCTGCTGCTCCGGGGCCCTCAGCGGCAGGCTGGCTGGAAAGAGCACCAGCTTTGTTTGGGGCTGGTGGACAGGGGCTTCCCCACTGGTCCCTCCTGGCCAGGCTGGCCCACAGCACACAGAGGGTCTGGGGTTACTGGTCAGAGTGGGAGGGGAGTCCAGGATCTAGGAGAACTGAGGGAGGCCGGGGTCCTTCCAGTTCCCCCACAGATGCCTGTTCCTGTTCAGACACCATTATCTCTACAGCAGAACCCTCTCTGCCACCATGTCGCCCATTAGCAGTAGCTCCTGATGTGCCCACGGGTTGCCAGGTGCC